AGAACGAACAAAAAAGAATCGATAACAAATGTGGCTTCGCATCAATTGAATTGTCAAAAATTCAATTGTGCCCTTTATTTAAAATTGATAATTAATTTACAACAAATAAATTAACTAAAATAACCTTGACCATGCATGCCAAACAATGAACTTATTGCAAACTGCAAGACTGCATTTTCTTGCAGACGAAATTTGACGCTTTTGTTTTCATGTACCAACAGAAGCGTATGACGTATTTTGGGCATTGCATTGACAACGTTATTTTTTACACCAAATATATTTAACACAATTATTACAATACAAATAAAAATAACAAATTATTCATACAAAATTAATAACAAAATATTCATATATATAAACAAATATTCAACAGTTATAACAAAATTTTGTTATGATGACAAACGGTCAATGTATATAAATGAACAGTAATATAGTACTGTAAGTCGAAGAAATCAAACAATAGTTTTACAATAGTGTTGAGAGAAAATTTGCTAAATACATACGTCGAATCAAATCACTTTTTATCTTGTTACTTTCGTAAAATATCATGTGTTATAAACTAATCTCGACTGCTATACATTTTGCCAGTGATTTACCAATCGAAAAAGAAAATTACACAAAAAGTGCATTAAAAGAGCATCTCATTGAAAAAAGTACTCTAGATGTACCAATCCATAACGACGTAACAAATAAAGTTTTTATGGCATACGACAGCAACTTGGTAAAGAAGTGCAAAACAAATACAGAACCATTTTCACAAATATATATTAAAAAGCTAGATATATTCGTGAATTCCTGAAATGGCAAAAAACGAGTGTTGAGATGTAGAAACTAAGTTGTTCAACTTTCATACTTTGATAAAAACTGCCAAAAGTATGTGCTGACAATTGGATATTTTAACGTCATTCATTCGACGAGAAACATGGGTGTGGATGAAATATTTTTTAATCTAACATTACGATTAATTAAAATACTATATATAACTGTACTTGACAATTTTAAAATGAAAAAAAATTTATAATTTTAAACCTTTATATTCCTACAGTTTAAAAATAAACTTATATAATTACGTAAAATCAGTGATTATATAAAAGTATTTTTAGAATAGTTTATTACAAATTCATAGATCTATATTCAAACATTATATTCTTTCATATATTATTTTTGAAATATAGTAAAACATATTATTTTCTAACATTAGAAAATAAAACTTGAAATATAATGATATAATTATTTCAATCCTTTTTATATTAATGCTATATTTTATAAAATACTATTTTGCATTAATCTTACTGTTTTTAAATTGTTATAATTGATGTGAATAAACTATTATTTACGAAACGTCATGCTGTCAATATTGAGAAAACAATGCACGGATTATGCTCTACAGGAGCTCAGATGTCACTGTTGTACTGTATCACTGCATGTGTCTATAAGCTTGAAAATATCGTATGAAATGTATGAACGAATCGAGAACATTCTTCACAAGTTATTTTCAAGTAGGCCTTCTTTCTCTTTGCCTCGCAACTTTCCCCCTGCCACTGGTGATCCCGGGGATATTCCTTTCCCACAGGCCCCAGTCAAGCAGATTTGCTTTGGTGATGAGTGCCTTAATTCGCTCGTAGAACAAAGAAGATGTCACTCAGTGATAAAAAAACCTACCTCATTTATTCCTAAGAATTGATTTTTGTGGATTAAAATCTCAAACTATGGGTGTCGATGCTTTTTAGATAACCCCAAAACAAGACAGTCAACCTTCTGGCTTTTCGGTTTCTGTTACATTTGGAAATAAGTTTTTTTTATAAAATAATTATGACCTCAATTTTAAACAAATTAAATAAACGTAACAAATATCACAATAATTTGTGCATTTTATAATATCTTCACTTTAACACTGTTTTTCGTATGACACAGACTGTACTTATTTACAAATTAATATACTATAAGTTTTAAAAAGAGCAATAAATAACAAATAAGGATGTTTGTAGTAGAAATAACTTTTAATAAGAACACTCTAAATGAAATCCTTTTATTAAAATCACATAATTAAATTTCACGCAAAAAAATTGGTAATCATGTAGCTAAAATGATCAGAATTAAATCAGAATTAAATCATTTGCAAAAAATAATGTGTCTGTCATATTTTAAGACCACACGCTATAGTTTACCGTTTCTTTTGTATAATAAATAGTCTTTCAACAATTTCTTCCAATTTCTTCATTGTCTTGAGTATAGTGGCTCAGATGGATGACTGTATGAAATGCACTAAATTTTGAAGCAATTTTTTAAAAATTTAACATATTCGGCGGCTGTTAAACGATTTTTATTACAAAATGACAAGCCTTAATATAAAATTATGATGCTTATGAGGATGGTTATAGTTTTATATACCTATGTCACAAAAACAGTGGTACCAATTCAAAACCACGAAATAGATAATACGTAATAAAAAGACACTGGATATATTTCTTTTCTTTTCTATTTTTCTGGTGTATTGTACAAGTATAAATAAGCTAAAAGATAAATTTGAAAAAAATATACCATAATATAAATAGAATGTGGTGAAATTCGTGATACATATTAACTTAAAAACTTATTTTGTTACAGGGAGCCGGTTGTACAGCCTTACTTGTCGCAGTTGTTTCAAGGAAATTAGAATTAACACGCGCTGAAAAGCATGTGCATAATTTTATGATGGATACACAACTGACTAAAAGGGTATAACATAATAATTCCATAAAAACATTTACGGCTTTTTCAGAACACCAAGTCATTAATATTTTATTATTTACACCATTAATATCTCATAGAAATATCATATCGCAAAATTATTTTCAAAAATCTATATATTGTTTAACTTCCATATGTAAGTAATACTTATAATTTTTATTTTGTTGTACATGTGTTTATTATTTATGTATTATATACTTTAAAAAAAGCATTTTAAACTCATATTTCAGCTAAAAAATGCTGCAGCGAATGTTCTTCGTGAAACTTGGCTCATTTACAAACATACGAGACTAGTAAAACGGATTAATCCTGGTCGTGTAAGAACCCACCAAAGAAAGTTCCTTCTAGCTATATATGCGTGAGTATTTTTGCAGCCATCACACTTACTTATCCAGTTTAATTTATAGTTAGTTTTTGAATTTGTTTTGCTTAAAAATTTATATTTGTATATAAAATTGATAAGAACGCGTTTGTTCTTAGTAAATTCCAAATGGTTATGTTAAGTAAAATGTTAAGAACGCGTTTGTTCTTAGTAATTTCCAAGTGGTTATATCAAGCTTCCAACACGCACATGCACGCGTTGGATGATATATTTTGTATTTTATTAATTGTAAAACTGCCGAGCACTTAAACTCGTAGTTTGCCTCAATAATCAAATTTGAAATAAAAAAAAACAACTTCAAATATTTTATCTGTATTTTATGTGTCTTTATTTATTTTCAGGTATTTTGGAAATTTATTGTTAAATGTGCTATTTCGAAATGTTGTTACTCGTATCACTGTTCAACCAAAAAGAGGAAGTTTGTTAGCTTAAAACCAACACAGAAGCTGCTCTCATGTCCCTAATCTAGCTTAAAGCTTACTTCATTCTCCTTTTGTTGCCAAACAGCTGATTACTAGTGTTTGACAACATTAAGTAGATGAAGTCTTATGTAGATATTACAACCAAGATTTACTATAAGGAGATTTAACATCCTTCCCCGCGTTGAATTATTTGAATAATTTGAATAATTTAACTAAAAGTACGATAAAATGCATGCCTGCAATTGATATGGCATAACTGCACCTTAATTTTAAATAAACAAGTTGATCTAGGTCATGAGAGCTTGCTTCTATGTTGTTTTTTTTTGCTTGTTTACATCTTAAATTGCACATGATTTTCAACTGTCAAAATAGTAAAAAGCATTGTTAACATTTTTTGTTATTAAGTTTAAGAACAATTAAAAGTTTCATATGTGAATTTTAATAATTTCAATTAGTTACAATTAATTTATTGGTCAGTAATTCAAAAATTTTGAATGTATTTATAAAATTTAAATTTAAATTTATAAGTGAATTTAAGCCATATTAAATATTACGTTGATGAATCATAGACTGAAGTACATCGCTGGACGCCTCATCAGATAACTGTGTACTTATATTATTTAAAAATTTTACATCATGTTTTGTCTTCCCCAGATTTTTGGTGTGAGATCAGCAGTTGCTCGATCGTTTGGATACCTTCGAATTGCGTCCAAAATGATTGATACTACTAACCGATGAATTTGGTACCTGTATAGGCCTTTTCGATGCTGTCAGTTGTTGCTTTGTTGCTTCTTTTGGTTGTATTGGTGGTATCTTGTCATCTTCACTGTCGTTGGTTTCAGAAAAAAGTGGAGCCAAATTATGTATGGCACGTCTCACAATACCTGATGCTGTTTTAACATCGACCACACGTACCATTCCGTCAGTACCCTTATGTATGTTGGTTATTCGACCCAATGCCCACTGAAGAGGAGGTAAATTTCCATCCTTCATGATGACTAAAGTGTTTTCTTGCAAATTTTTGCATTCTTCTCACCATTTATGTCGGTATTGTAACTCATTTAGATATTCAGAGTTCCACCGTCTCCAGAATTCATGTTTTATGTGGGACACCAATTTCAACCTCGTTAGTAATAATGTCTTTAAATTTGGTGTGGTTGCACTTGCTGGTGCTGTAAGAGCTTCACCAATTAGAAAGTGGCCTGGCGTAAGTGCTTCAAAGTCATTTGGATCATTCGACATTGGAGTAATCGGTCTTGAATTTCAAATTAACTCTATTTCAATACCAACTGTTTCTAACTCTTCGTACGTTAAGGATTCTGTGGCAACGCTGCGCACAAGTAAATGTTTCGCCGACTTCACTGCTGCTTCCCAGAGTCCTCCGAAGTGAGGCGTACGAGGAGGAATGAAGTTAAATTTAATACCTTTATTGCTGCACGCTCTTTCAATTACTTCTGATTTTTTTGAGTAAATTATTTCTACCAGTTCATTCAGTTTGTTATTGGTTCCAACAAAATTAGTTGCATTGTCACAAAATATATTTTGGCAATGCCCACGCCTCGCAACAAAACGTTTAACTGATCCAATAAATGCGTCGGTAGTTAGGTCACTTACCAGCTCCAAATGTACTGCCTTGGTGGCAAAACAACAGAAAACAGCAATATATGCCTTGTGCGGTCGCTTTCCTCTTACTTTGTAGTGTACCCAAATTGGTCCACAAAAATCGACTCCCGTGTTAAGAAATGGCCTACTTGGATGGACTCGAGCATGTAGAAGATTTCCCATGATTTGATTGAAAGTTACAGGTCTACACCTTGTACAACGAATACAGTGTTGCACGATGGACCGTGCCATTACCTTCCCCTTGATCGGCCAAAATTTTTGCCGTGTCGCTGCCAATAATGCTTGGCCACCGCAATGCATGTTTTCTTCGTGAATTTTCTTCATTAATAGCTTAACTATGCAGTCATTGTATGGGAAGAGCATTTGATGTTTAGCATTATATGTTAGATTTGATGCGTCTTCCTCCGACCCGAACGATATCATATTTATCTAAAAACGGCGTCAATGCAGCTAACGAGCTAGATGCTTTCACCAGTTTGCGATGCTTTAAATCAATTACCTCTTCCTTGAATTCAACAGCCTGAATGCATTTCACGATGTACCTAAGTGATTCTTCTAACTCTTCCGGATGTAATTCATTGGTATGATTATTAAATTGAAGTCGCTTAATACGCCTTATGAACCGTAGCACATAACCAACAATATGAAGCAATGTGTTAAAAGAATTTCTGTGGTTTACCTTGTATATCCATTCAGTATCATCTTCGGTTGCTGTTAGCATCACTTTCTGCGAAGTTTTTTTAACTCGGCGTTGTCTGGCTGATTGCATAGGGCTTTATTAAATTCTTCTGGCCACATATCTTCACGACCATAGGACCATAGAACCATAAATTATGAGTTTGCAATTGAGATGGTTTGATGCCGCGTAATAAGGCATCTGCTGGGTTTAGTCTTGAACTTACATGTCGCCACTGACTTGGTGCGGATAAGTCTTGAATTGCCGCAGTCCTGTTTGCTACAAATTGTTGATGTTTTGCTGGCAATGAATTAATCCAGTAGAGTACAATTTCAGAATCAGTCCAGTAATATGATTCTGTCTTATGATTTAAATCGCCCTATTCATTAATGTGGCTCCTAGAAGAGCAGCGCACAATTCTAAGCGTGGAATGGTTTGCTTTTTGATTGGGGCGACCCGAGATTTAGAGCATAGCAGTCGATTCATCAAGCGTCCATCTTTCAATGTTGCTCGAATGTATATAGCTGCTCCATAAGCCTTTTCGGAAGCGTCACAAAATGCATGGAGTTGCACCGATGAAGCAATCTGCTGTCCAAAAATATGCCTATCTATCTGAAAATGGTGAAATGACCTTAACTCGTCACAGAAATTAATCCATCTGGTATGTACATTAAGACCGAAAAGTTTTCGGAAATTCTCATTTAAAATTCGCGCGCTGTATATTTTTCGATATTTTAA